ACAAGAGAGCGCGCGCCTCGGGAGGCGAGCGTCCGGGGCGCGAGCGCAGGCGGACCGAGCGCCCCAGCGGCGTCCCCGGCATCAGCGGGCCGAGCGCTTCCAGGGAGGGGCGGGCTGCCGCACGAAACGGCGCTGCGGCGAAGGCGCCGAGGAGTGAGGACTCGTCGTTATCCTCCCGCCCTCCCTCCCTCCCTTCCTCCCTCCTCTTCCTCCTCCTCCTCCTCCTCCTCCTCCTCCTCCTCCTCCTGCTCCCCCTCCTCCCTCCTCCCTCCTCCTCCTCCTCGTCCTCCTCCTCCTCCTCTTCCTCCTTTGCCTTTTGCTCCTCCTCCCACTCCCCCTTCTCCCTCTCATCCCTCGCCTCCCCCCTCCACATCATCCTGCAAGCCTGTTAGCCATGAGTGCAACGCAGTGACTGCTGCGGGCTCGCTTTCCACGCGGCGTGCTCCCTCCTCCCTCCTCCCTCCCTCCCCCTCTTCCCGCCTCCCGCCCCCCTCCTCCCGTTAGTCGTAAGTCGTCCGTTGTCGGCGTCGAGGTCGCCATCGTCGTCGTCGTCGTCGCCGTCGTCGTGTCAACCACCAGCATCTGGAGCGCCTCGGCCCGGCGGCAGCCATTCGAATATGCTAAACTAGAACCATCGCGCGCGCTCAAGTTCTAGCTAGGCTTGATAGGCTAACTCATGTAATCTCATGTTGGTCGCCTCTTGCGTCCAGGGACTCCCTTGGAGGCCCTGCTCAAGCCTCGGAAACGTATAGAAGGGGAAGTGCGGAAACGCAGAAATCATTAACTTCCTTTGGGCTTTCAACGATTTGGGGCCATCAAAGGCTGCCTGGGTTCTTTTTTGGGAGGTGAGGGGGGCCTGAATTGTGGTCTCTTGTGCAAGAGTAGACCGGGGGCCACACTTGAAAAAAAGTAATTGTGGGATCTCCATGTTTTTCCAGTTCCTCGGCGCTGTTCGGCGCTGTTTTTTGTTTGTGCCTCGCGGATTTTGTTAGCCGGGCCCCCTGGTGCTTCTGGAGGCATCCCGGAGGCCTGGAGAGCCGCCGGAAGGGTGTCTCGGGCTGCCTGGGAGCGTGTTGGGCCCTTCTTTACGTTCTGGGGGCTCCTGGAGGTCGTCATGGGCTGTCCTTCGGCGTCTTGGGGTCTCCCCCCAGGAAGCCGGGAGGCGCGGTACCGGCCAAATGTCAGGGGATGACTTTGAAAAAAAGAAATATGGGAATTCCGTGCTTGTTATTAAAAATCCTCGACCTTCGAAGGTTGGAAGCGGGAAAACGTGAGAAGGCGAAAAACATTAGAAAAACCATTGGAAATCAACGATTTTACCCTCTTGGGGCTCTTTCGGGACGGCTCTTGCAGCTCTCTTGGGCTGTTCGTGGAGCCTCGTCGGGGTGTTTTTGGGGCCTCTCAAGGATCGGGGATGTGTTGGGGGCCCTTTTGGGCCGTCTTGGGCCCTCTTGGGTCTCTCTTGGGCTGTCTTGGGGCTCCGCGGGGGCGTCTGGGGCACTGTGAAGACGAAGCCAGCGAGTATGCTGAAAATGCACGTTTTACTAAGGGAATGGGCCGATGTTTGCCTCTTGAAGGCCCTCTTGGGGCCCTCTTCGGCCATCTTCAAGCCATCTCGGGCCCTCTTGGGCCTCGCTGAGGCTGTCCTGGGGCCCACTAAGGGGCCCTGGGAGCCCGGAAGTCATGTTCCCGGAGAGGCTTCCAGGAACATGATTTCGAACGGGGCCCTCTTGGGCCTCCCTGAGACGGTCTTGGGGGCCTCCTGGGCCCGCTTTGGCGCTTCTTGGGCCGCCTTGGGGGGTTCCGTGAGCACCACAGGCCGACCCTTTTGGGCCGTCTGGCCCTCTTGGGTCTCTCTTGAGCTGTCTTGGGGCTCCTCGGGGGCGTCTGGGGCACTGTGAAGACGAAGCCAGCGAGTATGCTGAACATGTACGTTTTACGCAGGAAATGGGCCGACGTTTGCCTCTTGAAGGCCCTTCCGGGGCCCTGAATATGCTGAACATGTACGTTTTACGCAGGAGATGGGCCGATGTTTGCCTCTTGAAGGCCCTTTCGGGGCCCTCTTCGGCCATCTTCAAGCCATCTCGGGCCCTCTTGAGCCTCGCTGAAGCTGTCTTGTGGGCCTCTTGGGCGTCCTCGAAAGCCAGAAATCATGTTCCCGGAGAGGCTTCCGGGAACATGATTTCGAACGAGGCCCTGTTGGACCTCCCTGAGGCCGTCTTGGGGGCCTCCTGGGCCCGCTTTGGCGCTTCTTGGGCCGTCTCGGGGGGTTCCGTGAGCCCCACAGGCCAACCCTTTTGGGCCGTCTGGGGCCCTCTTGGGTCTCTCTTGGGCTGTGTTGGGGCTCCGTGGGGGCGTATGGGGCACTGTGAAGACGAAGCCAGCGAGTATGCTGAAAATGCACGTTTTACTGAGGGAATGGGCCGATGTTTGTCTCTTGAAGGCCCTCTCGGGGCCCTCTTCGGCCATCTTCAAGCCATCTCGGACCCTCTTGGGGCGCTCGTGGGCGTCTTCGGGGCCTCTTCAGGCTTTCTTGACCATCTGTACGGCCCGCGTGGCCTGTCGTGGGCAATTTGGAAGCGGCCCGGGGCAGTCCCCGGGGGTCTGTGACCCCCCAAAGGTTCGGTGGGCGGCCATGAGGGATGACGGCACCGATCTTGCCCCTACACACATATCTATATATATAACATATATGTATAGATGTATGGTATATATATATATATACACAATATATATATATATATATATATATAATATGTTTATATGTGTAATAAAAAAGCGTCGCGCGCTTAGGTTCTAGTGTGTCACAGACACAGGAATCGCTGTGCGAAAAAATGTTTGGAGTCCGGAGTTTGTCTCAGTCCAGTGGCAACACCTGCTTGAGGCACCGCCGGGGACGGACCCTGTGCAGAGTGCGGAAAGTCGGACCAGCTCTCTGGTCGACCCTCTCGGGCGTGCCCTGGGGCTCTCTTGGGCCGTTTGGGGGGGCCCGTTGCGGGGCTGTTTCGGGGCTTCTTTGGGTGTTTTTTCTGGTCTCTTGGGGGCCTCGTGAGGGGTCTTGGGCGCTTCTTGGAGCCTCTTGGGGTCTCCTGAAGGCCTCTTGGGCCAAATGGCTCGCATGTTCGGCTCCTCGTCCCCGTCTTGGGCGCCGACTTGGGGCGTTGTTGGGCGGTTTAGGCGTCTCGTGGGCCGTCTTGGCCCCCTCGTGGGCCGTCTTGGGTACCTCTTGGGCCGTCTTGGACGCAGTGGAAGCCCAAAAGGCGAAAACGCAGAAAACATCAGTTTCCCAATCGGAAACCGACGATGCTTACTTATTTGGGGCTCTATTGATGTGCCTCTTGGGGCGTCTTCGGAGCCTCTTTTGGTGTTTTTTCGGGTCTCATGGGGGCCTCTTTGGGCTTCTTGGGCACTTCTTGGAGCCTCTTGGGGTCTCCTGGGGGCCTCTTGGGCCAAATGGCTCGCATTTTTGTTTCCTCGTCCCTGTCTTGGGCGCCGACTTGGGGCGTTCTTGGGCGTTTGGGGCGCCTCGTGGGCCGCCTTGGCCCCCTCGTGGGCCGTCTTGGGGCCCTCTTGGGGGCATCCTCGACCGGCTTGGGTGCCTCTTGGGCTGTCTTGGACGCAGTGGACGCCCAAAAGGCAAACACGCCAAAAATTGAAGTTTTTCCCATTTCGACGATTTGTGCTTGTTGGGCCTCTCTCGGGGTGCCTCATGGGGCGTCTTCGGAGCCTCTGTTGGTGTTTTTTCGGGTCTCATGGGGGCCTCTTGGGGCTTCTGGGCCCCTTCTTGGAGCCTCTTGGGGTCTCCTGGGGGCCTCTTGGGCCAAAGGCCAGAATTTCCCGTTCCACGTCCCCGTCTTGGGCGCCGCCTTGGGGCGTTCTTGGGAGGTTTGGGCGCCTCGTGGGCCGTCTTGGCCCCCTCGTGGGCATCCTCGACCGGCTCGGGTGCCTCTTGGGCCGTCTTGAACGCAGTGGACGGCCAAAAGGCAAACACACCGAAAATATCAGTTTTCCCATAGGAAATCCACGACTTTTGCTGATTGGGCCACTCTCGGGGTGCCTTATGGGGCGTCTTCGGGGCCTTCGGGGGCCTACATGGCGTCATGGGAGTCGCCTTGAAAAGCGTCTGGAGCCATCGCTGCGGCCTCCTGGGGCCTCCCTGCAGCCTATTGGGGCCCTGTTGGCCCCAGGTCGCCGAAACACTGTGAAAAAATAAGGAAAACGACGCCCGGCCCCACATTTGTGGTCGTGGCGCCGGCCCCCGGCCCCCGGACCCGGTCCCCCGTTATATAAATATTTCCAATCGGAAATCAACGATTTTTGCTGATTGGCCACTCTCGGGGTGCCTCTTGGGGCGTCTTCGGAGCCTCTTTTGGTGTTTTTTCGGGTCTCATGGGGGCCTCTTTGGGCTTCTGGGTCCCTTTTCGGAGCCTCTTGGGGTCTCCTGGAGGCCTCTTGGGCCAAAAGGCTAGAATTTCCCGTTCCTCGTCCCCGTCTTGGGCGCCGCCTTGGGGCGTTCTTGGGCGGTTGGGCGCCTCGTGGGCCGTCTTGGCCCCCTCGTGGACCGGCTTGGGTGCCCCTTGGAGCATCCTCGACCGGCTTGGGTGCCTCTTGGGCCGTCTTGGACGCAGTGGACGGCCAAAAGGCAAACACGCCGAAAACATCAGCTTTCCCAAAAGAAATCGACAACTTTTGTTCATTGGGCCTCTCTCGGGGTGCCTCCTTCGGGGGCCTTTTTGGCGTCATGGGAGTCATCTTGAAAGGCGTCTGGAGCCATCGCTGCAGCCTCCTGGGGCCTCCCTGCAGCCTCTTGGGGCCCTGTTGGCCCCAGGTCGCCGAAACCCCGTAAAAACATAAGGAAAACGACGCCCAGGCCCCACATTTGTGGTCGTGGCGCCGGCCCCCGGCCCCCGGACCCGGTCCCCCGTTATGCGTACACTCCTCTCAGTCAGCCTCTTCATCCTCCTCCTTCTCCTCGTCCTCCTGGCGCTCGGCCGACAGTCCTTCTTGCCCTTGAAGACCATAACCTTGGCAAAGCGCCCCGTCGCAATTTTGCTGACCCTCTTCGACTTCATCACGCGCTTGGCCTGCGCCCGGAGAAGACGATCGGGACGCACTGGGTCCAACATCAAGGGGAGGCGCAGGAAGAGGAGGACGAGGAGGACAAGGAGGGGGAGGAGGAGAGAAAGGGGGAGGAAGGGGAGGGGACGGGGGGGTGACGGGGAGGGGGAGGGGGATATGGAGGGCAAGAACAAAACTTCCACGAGCTCCCTCAAATCCGTTGGACAAAACGGTGATGGAGCAACAAGCCTAAAGCTCATGTGTGCTGGACTCGTTGGAACACTCCGCAGAGCCATTGGCCGAGGTGCTCGTTGACTCTCAGAGACCACCACCGTGTCCCCTGGCACGTGAAGGCGTGGTAGACTGCCAAGTGCTGCCTCTGGTAGGGCTTCTGCAAGTCCTCTGAAGCCCACCCTCACGGCAGCAGCTCCCTGCATGGCCCCCCCAAAAAACTCCCGTGGGGGTCTGCCGGCGGATATCGGCTACACGCAAGAGTGACCCTGGGTAAGAGTGACCTTTGGTGCGCGGTTTTTCGGGGGGCGGCGGGGGGGCCGAAAACGGACGCGCAAGACGCCACTACCGCGCCGAGTTCGGCGATCGGGGGACCCCATTGGGCCCGCACCAAAGGTCACTCCGGCGAAAGGTCACTCTTACGTGTCGTCGAGGATAGGACGGGCGGACCCTGACTGGCAGGGCCGGCGAGCGGGACAGCAACGAGCGGGCGGGCGGCCACGCCCAGCCGAGCGAACGTTTTGGCCTTTTCACGAACGGGCAGACTGTAACGGGCAGGTCGGGCGGGCGGCTTCTGAACAAGTGAGGGGCAGGTCCCGGGCGAGAACTCGACTCTCCAGTACGTTGCGAGGAAATCTCGAGCGGATGTGCGACTCCAGACGAATTTGTCAGCGAGTCTCTGGCGGGGGCCGTCGTTGCGGCAGCGGGGTGCACAACGACACAGGTTGAGGCCAGAGGCGACAAGTGGGGAGGATCAACTAGCAGTAGTCTTCAGAAACGAGTCAAGCAACAACAACAACAACAACAACAACAACAACAACAACAACAACAACAACAACAACAACAACAGAAACGAAAGAGGAGGGTTTTTTTAACACACAGGATTCCCTGGAGTTGGGTTTTCGCCTGCATTGTTTTTCAAAATGATGCTCTCGCTGAGGCGCCGGCCTCATTTTCGGGCCCCGCTCGTTCCGAATCGTGCTCCCGCTGCAGCGCTGGCCTCATGTCCGTGCTTCCGCTCGTTCCGAATCGTGCTCCCGCTGCAGCGCTGGCCTCATTTCCGCGCTTCCGCTCGTTCCGAGTCGTGCTCCCGCTGCAGCGCTGGCGTCATTTCCCGTGCCATGCCACGGCATGCAATGCAATGCTAGGCTGCGTTCCGCTGCGCGATGCCATGCCTTCAGCTGAAGCTGTGATATGCAGTACTTAAGTGCCACGTCGTGCTATGTCATGCTACGCTTTGGTCTTCAACGCCATGCTATGCAATGTTATGTTCGGGGCCGCTGTGCGATGCCATGCTTTGCGTTGCAAAGCTTTGTGATGTAATTCTTCACTACGCCACGCCACGCCATGCTGTGACATACTACGCTTTGCGGTGCTCTTCTACGCCATGCCATGTCGTGCTCTACAATGCATCGCGTACCCTGTCGGGATCATTGCCCTGCTCGAGTAGAGAGAGGATCTGCGCCATGGTAAGGGATGGGAGGGAGGGGTAGGATGTCAGATATGACGCGAGCGCACCTAGCTTGTCCGCCTCCCCCTCCCCCTCCCCCTCCTCCTCCTCCTCCTCCTCCTCGTCCTCCTCCTCGTCCTCCTCGTCCTCCTCGTCCTCCTCGTCCTCCTCGTCCTCCTCCTCCTCCTCCTCCTCCTCCTCCTCTTTCTCTTCCTCCTCCTCCTCCTCCTTCTCCTCCTCCTCCTTCACCTCCTCGTCAACCTCCACCTCCACCTCTCCTCCTCCTCCTCCTCCTCCTTCTCCTCCTCTTCCTCCTCCTCCTCCTCGTCCTCCTCCTCCTCCTGCTCCTCCTGCTCCACATGTTCCTCCCTACCCCTTCTCCTCCTCTTCGTCCTCCTCCTTCTACTCTTCAACCTCCTCAATGCCTCCTCTTTCCGTCCTGCTGCCCCCTCATGCCTCCCCTTCTCCCCCACTCCCCCTAACCCCGTCCCTCGTCTCTCCTCCTCCCCCTCCACCCCGTGCTGTGGGAACCACAAAGCATCGGCATTAGCACTACGCAAACCTTTCCCAGGGCGCGTTCTGAATAGAATTTCCAAGGCGAATCCAGCCGTGTCGACGGAGTCTTTTCAGGACGCCAAAAAAGGCGAAAACGAGGCAAGGGCAACGATATCGGGACCTGCTCCTCCTCTGACCGACCTCCCCCTCCCCCCCTCCTCCCAGCCAAGGCCCCGCCTGCGAGGCCGGCTTCATGGCGGGGAGCGCCATTGTAGCACAGCGGTCGGAGGCTGCTAAAGGTGCCACTGGCCCAGGGTGCCCCCAGTCTCGCGTTTCAGCTTGGAGCGTCTGGGGCCACCAGGGCCTCGAGAGGGGTGTTTTGAAGGCCATGGGGGCCTCCTTGGAAATCTTGGGTAGGTGGCGACATCTGAACCCGACCTCCACCAATCATAGGTTCTCCTCCATCGATGGGAGGCGGCGGTTGGGTTCGGATTTCGCCACGTTTGCGACGAATTCCGAGCCCTGCCCCCAACGCCCATCGAGTTGTCTGAATCGTCGGTCGGCGAGGGTGCAGCCCGGACCCAGGACAGAAAAACATCCTTCAAGAAAATGAGACCCTCCGCTGGCCAAAACACATAAAACCTTCAGACCATTCAAGGGTACCCTCCACCAGGATGCACAAAGACATCCAACAAACACGAAGAAGATTAGGGCACCTCCCCGAACCGACCTCGATCTGATACCCCGGTCCGACTGTACCCCCAACGCCCATCGAGCTGCCTCAGTCGCTGATCGGCGACTGTAAGGTTTGGATTTCCCCGCCGACTGGAGGCACCTGTGGCCAGAGAGCACTTCTGGCAACCATCCGAGGGGGGGGGGCGGCAGCGCGGGGGGCGGCGCCGTCGAGGCGAAACACTGGAATCCTGAAGGGAGAACGAGGAGGAGTGGGAGGAAGGAGGAAGAGGAAGAAGAGGGAGGGGGAGGAGAGGGTGGAAGAGGAGGAGGAGGAGGAGGAGGAAGAGGAGCAAGCAATGAGCAACGCGAGGGGGATCCACATGAGTTACTCGAACCTTATACCATAAAACTGGCGAACGGACTCTGCGCGACCTGATTCCGAGGGTGAGCGGGTCAACCATAAGAAGGGACAGGGGCACCCCCCCTGGAAAGGCCAGCGCCGCTCCCGAACGACGGCGAACCTCGAGCGCCACGCAGGCACATGAGAGGAGCCGTCTAGGGGCCGAGTATAGACTGAACCTGCCGCGTTTTGCCCCCTGGCCCGCCCCTTGCGCGGGTCCTGCTTCGGAGCCGCAAATAAAAGGGATCGGGGGGAGAACACGATTAGAATAAGTATCAATGCTCGTGGCCTGGAACGGGTCGGGGATGGCCCCTCGGGTCACTAGAAAAGCGAAGCGTTCACTGCCTGCAAAAGCACCCACACTCAGGTTTTTTCTGGCCCGCACTCCTTCTTTCGAGCGCGAGCGGCTTCTCTCTCTGGATGCGTCCACACGCCCCTGGCTCAATCGCTCTTGCCCTTGTCGATCAAGGCGAAGAGGCGCGCCGCCTCCCTCTCCAGGGGCCCACGAGGGGCAGGCCCCATCCATGAGCTGCGCCGCCTGGGAAACCTCCGCGTCGTTCAGGAATTGAATAATCAACGACCACGCCTCGCGACCTGGCTCGTCGCGCGAGAACGCGAACGTCAGGCGGCCCTTCGGCGCCTCGTCGTTGTCTTCCCCCCGAACCTTCTCGCTCGCGCGCTTGTACTTGCGACGTCTGGAGCGCAGAGCATGCTTGGCAACCTGCTGCGGGGTCTTCGCATTGATGCGTTGCTGAAGTACTGATAGAGCACCTTCTTATCGCGCCCTTTGCACCCGTCGCTGCCATCGAGAAACGCGCCCTTGCAATTAACGAGGCGGAAGGGCACCGCGGCAGTCGATCTTCTCGCCGTTCATCTGGCGCCCCTTGGGGCTCTTGGAGTCGGCGTCGTACTTTGCGCCTGCGACGATCATGATCTGGGTGGCGCCCCTACCTTCTTCCAGTAGCTCCCACGTATGAAACGCCGTGCCCGCTAGGCCGGCCAGCCCGCGGGCGTCGTTGAGGCGCAGCTTTGCCACCACCTTGACCGGCGCATCGTACGCGTCTCCCTTCTTCGCCTTGCGCTGCACTTCCTTCTTCGAATATGTTGGTGGCGGCGCCGGTTCTGGGGCCCCATCTGCTCCGCGCTTCGCAGGGGCCCGGACATCTCGCGCCAATCGCGTAGACCAACAGCCTCGAACTCGCGCAGGGGACACGCCGACGTCGATGGAAACTCCTGGTCGCAACGTCCTACCCCCGCCGAATCGACAATGCCCCCGCAGCACAGCAGAAACGAGATGCCTTGCTGCACATGCCTTGCCCCAGAATACTTCTCGACAACATTTGCATAGATTTGCTGGGGCCAAGATATGACATAGTGATCGGTAGCCGCGCCGTGAACGCAGATGGGCCACGTGCCCCTTTTGCGTGGTAGACCTCCCCCCGCAATCCCCCCTCAACATGGCAGACGAACTGAGGCCCCTCAGGAGCCGAAATAACCTCGGGGTTAGCCTCTGGGGCCTGCTCGGCGCACTCAGGGGGCGCCACTGGAGAACCCAATCGACAAGAAAGTACCTCGGTGAAATCGATCTGATCGAGCTCCCCCTGGACCTCGGGGCCCCGCATGAGTCCAGGACGAGCAGCGAGAGAACCCGACAGATCCTCGCGATCGCGCAGAAGCCCCCGCGCCCACTCGAAATCTTCAGCGACGCGACGAGCCCGCGGGGGGGCCATCGAAGTAGGAGCCCCCTCCACCATGGGCGCCTCATGCGACTCGAAAGGTACCGAACCGAAGAGGGTCGAGAGCAACTGCAGGTGGCTGGAAGGAAAACGCGCCCAGGCCTCGCACCAATTCAACCGCCTAATGCCGAGCTCAACGCGCGTTTCACGCGTGCGCCAGTGCTGCGAAACAGATTTTCACGTCAACGTGCGAGTCGCTCCAGCCTCCGCCTTCCAGCTGGCACGGCCGCGCATGGCCGCGCTAGCATAGCGCGCCGCTGCGGCGCCCAAGCCAGCGCGCTGCTTCTTCGCAAGCAGAAACGCCTCCAATCCATAAAGAGCTGAATTTTGAACCAATGGCATCAACATTGAACGCGTAGACACCATAGAAGACTGAGAGACCAGAAGCCACCCATGGAGCAGAAGGCAGCACGCACGGCCTGGCGCTGACGGGCTACCTCCTGACTGGACGCCTGGGACATGGAACCACGAGGTCCAAGATGTCGAACTTCTCCTTTTCAGAGCTCCCGAGAGGAGGGCCCGTCCGGGCCCGCGAGCACGGTCGTCGCGGACGCCCCCGCGCTGCGGTTCAAGCTCCGGGGCGAGGGGCACGCGCGCATCCACGAGAGCAAGCGAGATCTACGCTGCAAGCGCCAAGAGACGCATCCAGAACCTCCACCGCAAGTACCGCGAGACGCAGGCCAAGGAGGGCGAGGCAGCCTTCGAGGCCGAGAAGGCCAAGCACTTGGCAGAGCACCCGGACCAGAAGGAGCAAGTGGACCAGGTCTACTCGAGCGCAGGTGACAAGTACAGGGTCACCCTCATCAACATCTCTGCAGTCGAGGGCCGGTTCGACCCGAGCAAGGAGCCCAAGTCCGCCAAGAAGCGCAGCGTGCCCCTCGTCACCTGCACACGGCGCTGCCGAGCGAGCGACGTGATACTCGAGGAGGGCACATGGCGGCGCGACGCCACCTACGAGCGGAGCGACGGCGAGACGGGGCGCTTCCGAGCAGGCGAGCCCCTAGGAGCATTGCTCAAGGACTGGCGCAACGCTCTGCGCGAGTTCTCCGAGGAGGAACGCGCGAGGATCTTCGAGGCCATGGGCGCGCGGGGGCAGCCAAGGGCCTGGACGGACGAGTTCGCCGGCGCCTGGGCCATCGACTTCATCGAGCGGCAGCGCGGCCAGAGCCTCGCGTTCGCAGACTGCCTCTCGAGCCAGTCGGCCGAGGTAGTGACGCTCCGAGCGTGGCCCCAGCATGAGGCCCACGCGCCCGTGACCCCCGACGTCGCGAGCTTCTTGCAGGGGCCGGGCGCCCGCGATCACAGCCAGCTCAGGGCCGTGACCCGAGAGGTCAAGGCTGAGATGCACTGGGCCATGGAGCAGGACTGGATCCAGAAGGCCAAGGCCGAGCCCCAGAAGCAGCTCATGTCCCCGACGCACAAGGGGCCCTACGAGTGCCTCTACTGCGTCTCCGAGGCCAACACCCGCTTCCGCGAGAAGAACGAGGACGCGGCGCCGCTCCAAAGGCTGCGACCGCCCCAAGTGCTCGCGGCCCGGCCGACAGAGCAAGGCGAGCTCAAGGTCGTCACGGGCATGGAGCCGTGGAGCTACTCCGTCGAGCCCAGCCGCGGCATCGAGCCGAGCCTGGCGAGCGAGCGCCTGGAGGGCGCGCAGAGGTGGCCCGAGGGCGCGCCGCCCGTGCCCGAGTGGAGCGGCCTCGACGGGCACTGCTTCCACCTCGATGACTTGCCCGAGGACTACGAGCAGGACGAGAAACCCCGCAACCTGGAGCTCCGAGAACTGGACCTCGAGCTCACCGACGAGCAGAAGGACGCGCTCATAACGCCAGAAGAGCAAATCAAGGAGATCCAGTTCCCGCGCGCCCTCGAGAACCGGCCAAGCTCAAGCGAACAACTAAACGCAAGAGCAGGTGGGCGCCCGAGTTCTCGGGCCAGTTCCTGGGCAAGCCGCGCCGCAAATGGCAGCGAGCGCAGGCCGAGACTGGCGGCGAGGCCTCGCTCGAGCACCCGAGCTGAGGCGCGGCCAAGGCAAAGCTCACAGGCAGGGCGCCGAAGGCCAAGACGAGCTTCTCCCAGAAGTTCAAGGCCAGGACGCAAGCGGAGAAGAACGCCAAGAAGCAAGCGAAGGCCAAGAAGGAAATAGGCCCGAGGGTTGCGAGGACACCCCCTGGCACGGCAAGGTGGCCCGCGTCACCGCGGAGGGAGTCCGCGAGGGCAGGCGCGGCAAAGCGCGGGACGTCTGGCTAATCCTGGGCGCCGAGGACGCGCGCCGCCTGCGCGCCCACGAGGTGGAGACCGCGGCGATCTTCCAGATCGACAGCAGCGAGGCCCGGAGGCTCACAGGCACTCGTAACCTCCCGCCTGCTTCTGCCTCAAGCGGCGGAAGCAAGCGGAAGCTAGCGGAAACGGCGGAAGCGACGGCGGAAGCGGCGGAAGTTGGCGGAAAGCTGGCGGAAGCG